ATGCTCTTTCCCCCCTTTTCAGTGCAGGAAGCCCTGTCCCCATTTGTATTGGCCCAAATACTCAATTCTTATTTCTTACTCCTTAGAGGCTAAAAGGGGAAGAAGGAAAAAAATAAAAGAAAGAAAGGAGAAACCCAACAGCCTCTGTACTTCAGTGCTATTCAGAAGGCACACATCCTCTCGCCAGCAGTGGTTTTGGGTATGTTCGTGGCTGGTATTTGTATTTGACTACCATGCTTTCGCAGCATGCTTTGAACACCCCTAACAAAGTCAGTCTTCTCTGCCAAACTAGAAACCCCTCCAACCTGTCTCAATTGAAAAAGAGCTTAGACAGGAACCAGACGTTCGCTCTGCAGGCACTTCTTCTATAGACACGAGCACCTAAGGAATTCTGCAATACAAAACATGGATGCTGAATGAATCTACACATACTACTGATATGACAGCTACTGAAACACGGACTCTCTTGGAACTAGGTTCCGCTCAGGCCCATCCGAGTACCAGAAATCAGTTTGAGAACACAGAAGCACAGTTTACAGTGCCTCCAGTACGTGAGAAAATAGCAGGTCTCAGCTCACTTCAAGTGACAGGCATCATGGAAACAATGCTGGGGCTCTTCGCTGAATCAAATCAATACAACACAATTGTTCATAATCACCACAATAACTTTGTCAAAGTGCTGATGCCACATAACAAGCAAAAAAGGAAATAGATCTTGCTGCCAAATCCAAACGAAGTAGATTGAATTTCTCTTTTTAGCTCTACAGATGCTGAATGCACCTTCTATACTTGCTGTATGGAATCACTATCTTCCATTTCCACCAAAGTCCCTCCATGTGCTATTACCTCACCTATTTTTATTTATTCTTCAAACTCCATAATGATCAACTCTTTATCTGTTTTTTGTAAAACACAGGGACAGAATGACATCTCAATCACCTTTAATCTACGCAGCCATACTCCTGGTCTTGAAATCTTGTCCCCTCTTGTTTCAGACAGCCCTCCGTTTTTTAGCTTCCCTCCTAAGTAACTAATCTTTAACTTATCTTTCAGGTCATCTTCCTTATTCCTCTCAAATCAAGCTCACTGGGGGAAACAGTATAACATCCTTGGCCTTCTCTTTTCTCTATTCTGTTCATAAGTAACATTATCCAAAACACAAAATCCATTTATCTTCTCTATGTTGATGATTTCACACCTACCAAACTCCTACTCTCTACACATTTTCACACTTGTTCACATAGATCTATCTAGCAATGCCTCCTTCTCCAAATCCAAGTACTTTTCACCACGGCTGCTCTTGACAAACTTTGGTAATCTGAGCATCCTGCTTACAGACCAATGACAAATGCTCAAGTCTCCAATTCTTCTTTGTCCCTACATCTTTCCATGCAGTGTCTACACCACCATTGTGCAGGTTTTCTGCAGTCTCTCTGTAAAACATGTTCTGTTTAGTCCACTTGTATGTCTGAAAACCCTAATCCAGGCCCCCAGCCTTTGGTTGTGTTAGTCTGCTGATTTCAGGTCACCGTATATCCACACAAACAGTCTGGCTGGCAGAACTTCAGGAGAGATGCAGAAGCGAAAAGTAACTGAAGCTACATAAGCAACTCTGCTAATGAATGTGAAACCATAGTTTATCCATTTCCCTTTCATTAACACCTCAGTCTGTGTCTGACAATCTTTGACCTGGTTCTGTTTTTATAATTACTTCCTAGCTCATACTTTGTAAACTCTCAGGGCCAGGATTGTGCACTGTTTGTTTGTACAGTACCTGGAACCGGAATATTTACAGCAATAATTTGGTATTCTTTGCATTGCAGTGATATGAATGTTATCACAGACAAAATCTGTACAGGAGTTTACTCATTATTAGGATAACTTTAAGGTGTCTCAGATCTTACCAGTTTAATTTGTGCTCTGTCGCTGGACTTTTGGTCCAACGCTCTGAGTTTCTTCTTCTGGATTTGGGCGTTTCCCTGCACTAATGCCAGTACCAAGGGCCGTTCTTCCTGATAATTTAAAACCAGTATTTATATTAAGACTCTGTTGCACCTTTATATATCCAGGAAAAGTGTTTCTTTTTTTGTTGTTGTTGTTCTTTAAATTACCTGCTTGCAATAAGTGTGATTGCTGATTGTCTCCATGAGCATAATGTAAGATACTACTTGCTTGACAGTAACCTGTTCAGATACAGTACATATTTATTATAATAAATCAAATTTAGGACTGCAAGCAAGTGGACAATTACATTCTTTACAACAACAAAAAGGAGCCAATTGATTTATTTTCCATCAGCAAGAGAAATCCTGCCAGAAAACATCCTGAATGCAGAAGAGTTCTTATGATTAAAAAAAGCCTCATGGGATTTTATAGCAGTTAAATATATATATGCACGGTGAACAGTATTAAGTGCCTACATATTTATGCATTATTTTTGCAACAAGCAGAATGTTTACATATCCAAACAATTCTAATTTATTATTAATTTTAACATTTTTCTTTCTTCCAAGTCTCCTCATCCTTATAGCAATGCTAACGAATCCTTGCATAACTACGCTGTGAAGAAAAAAAAACATATGTAAGTAATTTAAATGAAGATGCAAACTATTTTCTGGTTCACATAAACTATCTGCTGGCAACCTTGACACTGGATGTTTTGCATTAATAATGCAAATTAGCAAAAGCAGTTGCAAGGTTTCTTATTCTGAACAGTTGTGGTGTTCTGGCGACCTTCTGGATGCTTAAACAAAAAAGAGATTATAATCTTTCATTATCAGTAAACACATAACCTCTGTTAAGACTGCAAAGAAACAGCTGTGCTAAATTTGACTGCAACATTGATCTATCACAAACCACAATTTAAGTTTCTGTATTGTTAAAGTAACAAAAATTTGCATCCATAACATGAGAATATCCACTGAAAACTGTAGAAATTGATTATATATATGAAAAGAGTGGTAGAGAAATCAGCTAAAAGGTAACGTGCAAATTTTTGCTATCAAATTCACAAACTGAACTTCTTTCTTTCAATATCTTTAGAATAACTTAATCTAGAATGTTTATTAATTTTTGGTTAGTCACACTTGTGATCCCTCCCACTCAAACCATGTAACTATTGTTCTAGATGAGCATTTTAGAGATAGAAGTGACAAGCAAGTTCACTCTAAGAAATTATTTTTATGTTTCAAGAACAGAAATAAGGCCAGTTCAAAGTTGTAGACAGCAGCTGTCACCAAAAATCTATCCACGTTATTTTGATGTTTTGTCTGTTTTTCCATAGTTGCAAGGATTTGGAGATCCTCTACAGACAGCCACTGCCATAATACCTTGCTGCTGAATTCCACTTGCTCCTGTATGAGCGTCTCCCAGGGCACATGGCTGAACAACTGTATGACCATCACCAGTTCCCAGTTGAGCTCCTGCAGAGACAGTAAAAAGATTTAAACATAACAGAAAATACAATTCCAGTTCTGAAATTTAAGATGTTGGGGATTTTTTTGCCGCTCTTCAAGAGGTAGACTTTGATTGTGGCTTTTATCCCCCCGTCACAAACCACCTCAGAACAGGTCCAAAGCTCTAATGCTTTCATCTTTCCAAATTCACACTTGCAAATTCAAATGAATACACAGTAACCTCCTAGAAAATGGACACATATCTGATACGAAAAGTGAAAATACATGTACGCATTTAAGAATATATGTATTTTAAGGAGAAAAGAGTGCACATAATATTAATTTATTAAACACTATTTTTTTCTAAACTCAGCCCTTTCCTGTTTTCTAAATCTCTGAACTTAAAAGAAATAAAAGCTCGAGCACCCAGCTTTAAGGAGCCTAGACTTCAATTCTTTGAGAGGAACTGTACTGGCTCAGAACAAGGTCCACCTTTCTCTGCAACCTGCTTCTAACCTTGACTGAAGCCTAAGGAGAATATAAACCCAGTAAATTTCCAGTTCCGCTGTATCCTCTTATAACGAGAAGACCAAAGTGTACATTGTATTCAAGATGCTGATACACCATGGATTTCTACAGTGTTAATACAGTTATTCCTTAATAACTAGTTAATGCTAATCTTTGTACGTTACAATAATAACAATAATAGCCTAATTTTCATCAAAACTGGATGATAAATTCTATATTAAGTTTTTTCAGACACTGTTCGCCACATTCTACTGTATTATGGTAGAACTAAATTCCAGTAAGCAATCTGATGCTAGCATTAGAAAACTTTACAAATTAATAGTTCCGAGTTGAAATCTCACGAATCACTCCTTATTACATTATATCAGGATGCTTGTAGACTTCTAGAAGAAAATCACATTCAAATGCTTTTGAAATCAAACTGATACATGTTAATAAGTCATTTCAGGGGGAAGAAAACAGGTTAAAAAATTCTTACATGTTCTAAATATTTATGTATTTATGCATAGATTTCATCTATAAATAAATACTACCGAACTCAGTGAATACATTTGAAAATGTTTGTGACTTACACTGAGAACTGTCTTGTGAATACAGTTCTTATACTACATAATGCCAAGGGCATTAAAAAATAGGTTTGTGCTGTTCAGTTCCAATAATTCTATGCGTTGAAAGAATTTGACTGACCTCCTGTACTGCTACAACCAGAAATGCTTTCTCCTGGTGAATAGCCCATGAGGCCACCGTTTCCATTTCCATTTGGATTAGAAGGCACTGTTGCAAGAAGACCTAAGCAATGAAATAAGAAATACAGCCGTAAAGACAGACTGGAAAAAAAGGAAAGATTAAGCGCAGCATGCTTTTTTCCTCATGATAGCCAGTTCTCCATCCTCAACCTAAGAGGTTTACCTTTATAGCAGCAAAACATTCATCTTGCCTACTTCTAGGATCTTGCCAAGTAATTTTAGTTCACAATTACTTAATAGGCATTTTCCACATAATATTCCACATAACTTTCCCAATATTCATTAGTTACGCATATTTGTTGTGTTGAATTGCAATGCATCCTGATTCAATATTCAATACTTGAACATACTGACTGTTTACACCTTCCTGAGCAATCCAACCTTTACCTCTCAGAGCAAAGTCCTTCCTAACTAGGAAGAATGCTACCAGAGGTTGCATTGGTCTCTGAGCAACAGCATCTGCAATTGCAAATACAGTATGGCTGAAGTTATCAACCACGCTAATTTTCTAATCACTGGTATTAAAACCTGCTGTACAAGAGTATCAGGATGCACAGAAGACCCAGTTTAACCAAAAAACTTCCAAAAGCCTACAGAAAAAAAAAAAAAGAAAAAGAAAAAGAATCTGGGTAAGATTTGGAAAGAGGAACTTTCCTCAAAGTCTTTCTTTCTGTTCTTGGTTACATCTAATATTTTCATTTACATGGATACACATCCCTGGTCACCACACTGAGTTCATACCTGATTACCATTGCTATGGGACAAACTGATTGATTGCTAAAAGATGAGAGAATTTTTCAAATAAATAAAGCAAATATTGTATAACCATACCCAGCCCTCTGTATCGTGAAAGCTGCTGGTAGATTTGTTTCATCCTCTCAATATTCAGACGGCTCGCTTCTGCATGATTTACCATTGGTTTGGGATAATTGACTCCGATGATACACTTTGCAGCCTTCTGGATGCTTTCTGGGGCATTCCAAGGATCATAGATGTATTTTGCAGGGAAACCTCTAAGTACTGGCAAATAACGTCTTAAAAAATAACAACAATAATAAAAAAAAAAAAAAAAGTAATTTTAAGTATAAAGCCACTTGTCAGTTTAAGCCACATCCACAAATTGCTGCAATTTCTGGTTGTGAGTTACCTGATATAATCCCCATTTGGGTCAGTTCTTCTGCCAAAACCCACAGGACAGTAGCAGTGAAAAAACTGCTGGAAGAAGGAACTACAGGATAACCACATCCAGCTTCCAGCATTCACACTCCAATCTGCATCAAGTAAGAGCTCTTCAAAGACCTTAAGAAATTAGAGCAACAAGTTAGCCTGAACATGGCACAGCTTTGAGACACCTACACTCTCTTACCTGGCAATATTCACAGAATGCTCAGTACACAAATTGCAAATGCCCACCTAAATGCCAAACTCAAGAACAGAACGTGATGGCCATGGCTTTTAGTAGACATCTCAAAGCTGCAACCAAAAGAAGTTACATATTCTTGCATTAACACATCCTTATACATTAAACCCCCAAAGGATGGTTGGAGCCTGACTGCTTGCAAGTGACATTTGTTGCTTGCAGAAGAGTTGCTTCATCACATTACAACTGAGTAAGCTTTGCAAACTTCCAGAAAACAGGGAACACACAAAGCACATTTCAAACTCAGATTGTCAGTCTGAATACCTCAAACTGTGCAGCACCTTTCACTATGCAAGGAGTCCCAAGAGTAGAATTCAAGAGTTTGAAGGTAGCACAAACATTCAGAAGTTGTATTCTTGAAGGACAATAATCAATCTACTAAGTCACAGTTTTGAGGTTACCCACTTAAATTCCTGGAGGTATACGAACCACCAAGCGTTCTGTAGAGTGGTGGACAGATAATGAACTCTGGTCGGAAGACAACAACAGAAAAAGTCTGCTCTGGTAATTGCTATCCTTATTATATCAAAAATAACCCATAAGGCTGTTGAAGATTTATGAGGGTTTTACTTTAAATCCGGAGCTCAATAGTTGTGAAACATTCATGTTGCCAGCACTGATTGTTTTTTAATTATTAACACAGACATTACTAACTCGTATAAAAAGGAAGTTGTCTGCTTAGTCAGGTGACCAGCAGTTCAGACTCATAAGAAATAGAGAAGCCTTATTCTTTGAAGAACATTAAAGTATCTCTTATGAAGAGTGCACTGAGAAATATTTTTCAAAACAGATACTTACTTAATACATATTTTCACAAGTTCTCATTTTCCTTTCAAACTTGAATCATCTCCAAATATTCCAAGGAAACCATTATCTTTTTCACACTAACCCACTAAAATTTAACACCTTACTTCTGCCACCCACCTTCAACTATTATTATTCCAAAATAAAGTATAATTAATACTGTCAAACAAGGATCTCTCTCTCAACATATATATTCAATAAGGTATTCAGTCTACAGTATACACTGAATAAGTGTTAAAAAAGTATCTTTGTCTAAATATCTGCAACTGTTTGGGGAAATGTAGTTTTTTTAATAAGATTCATCTTAAAATGCTTTTAAAAAAACATTTTAAATAGAGAGTGATTCATAATGTAACAAGATCTTCAGATGAAGATTAAGTGTTAGCACACAATTGCTCCACTAGATGCTGCCATGTAATAAGACTTTGGAAACAACATCAATGTGAAAGGCCAGATTAACTGTTGCTAGCAACGGACGTATGAATTAAACATCCTTCAGTGCACAAGTCTGAGACCTCCACCTATCTGTATTATTTCAAAAGTAAGAACGAGTTGGTGATTTTCTGTAATAGAGAGCTCTGTTGTTTGGCTGCGTTACTTACGTATGTGCAACTTTGAAGTCTTTATCAATGAAATGCAGACGGAAAATTCCTAAAGCAGCTTATGGTGTTGTGTAACAAAGAATTTATTTATTTTTTTAATGAAAGATGTTTCCTTACAACCAATTTGTGAAGAAAGTCGAAATTCCCTAAGATTTTATACATATATAAACATGAGGTCACAATCCTGATGGCAAATAAATTCTGTTTTAGGTTTCAAACGTAAAACACTATCTCCAGTTGATTGTCATTGCTAAGTACAAAATGTGCTACCCTTCTAAAAATGTCAAACTGATTCAAAGGCTGAGATTACATTATTCCATTCTTTTCTTCAAAAGCTTGACATTTGTAATCTGAACTTCAGCATCTCTTGGATACTTGCATAGAAATTACTTGCACTGAAACTCCAGCCACATTATGTTGCCCATACTCACATTTCTAACATTGGGCAAAGGGACAGAAATTACTGAAATGACATTCTCAAGGATTTAGTTTTCTGCCTTTAATTCCTGTGGTGCTTTCCCTTCACAGGGAAGCAGATGTAAAATGTGAACAGAAACTGTTCACGCAGCATGACTAGAAAGAAATTTTAGTTACAGGAGTAATCCATGTGTATTTGCCAAGATTTAGGAAGAAATCTCAGATTTAAAAGAATTGCAGACCTATTCTGACTGTAAGAAACACTAAATATTCCAATAAAAGGGGACATTCAACAGCCAAAACTTAACAGCACCACTAATTTATCAGAACTGATTTAATTTTGGCAACAGTTTAAGGTTAAAATTCAACTTACAGCATACACTAACAACAATTCTAGAATGACTATCTGAAACTATAGAAATTCAGGAATAAGAAACAATACCTTCATTCCTTCTTCCCAGCTAATCCAGAGATCACCTCGAGTTAAAAAGCACGCTACAGCATGCCGGGCTAAATGGTGAATCCAGCCTTCTTGACGAAGCTGTGTCATAATCGCATCAATCCAAGGAAAACCTGTTCTGCCTTCTGCCCATTTGGCCAAAGCTTCAGGATTCTTATCCCATGGAATTTGAACACAGATAGGATTCCCCTCCATTTTATCAAACCGTGGGTTGTTAGTCGCCGCTGTGTAGAAAAATTCACGCCATAACAGCTGGCCATAGAGGGAGAGGGGAGGGGAACTGTTCTTTTTTACCTGAAAACCATCATTAAAGGAAAACATTTCATTAGAAGTAGGGAAAAACCATAGCATCCAAGACTGCGTAGCTGACTGTGTGGAAATCCTACCTTTTTGTACAGATCCGTTAGCTTGAAATAAAAGAGACGACAGGACAAACAGCCAAAGCGGAGGTAGGGACTAAGCCCTGTAGGGCTTGCCAGGAGGGAATTTGCATTCATTCGTGGTCTTTCAAAGTTTGCCACCCAAGCCTTAAAAAAAACACAACACAAAAACAAACACAGAACAAAAACCACACAGCAGTATCAGACTACAGGCCAGGTACCAACTTATAAGCACAAGAGGTGAAATCTTGCACTGTCTGTAACTGACCCCAGGCACTGGACAGATGATCACCTTACCTACAATATCTAGGTGTTCCTTTTGAATCAGCAGAGTCTCTAGAAGGTAATTCACCTCAATGCAGCAGGTATGAGTTATCTTCCAGAGCTACCTATCCTTTTCTTTTAAATAGAGGAAACCTAGACAACTAGCAGTATGTTAGCTTTTAGAAAAATTCCCCTTCAAAGTTATAAAAAGTATGTTCAAATAAATTCCTTCCTGAGAAAAAATAATTACATTTGAGTGGAATATTGTACAGCAGACTTTCTCTAAAATTCAAATTAAAGACAACCTGCTATCAGCTTTTAAAACCGAGGAACCGCACCTTGATTTATGTAATTATATTGAAGGCCTTGAGTTCAAGTCTGGGCTTGATTTTCTTTTAAAACAACTTGCTGAATTCTTTTTATATTTCATTGCAAAGAGTAAGTATGTTTCTCAGATATAGAATAACTAGGTTGGAAAAGACCTTTAAGATCATCAAGTCCAACCATCAGTCCTGAGGAGTGCCTTAAAATCACCCATGCTGTTTAATTGCTGTTTGACCCAAATGATGCTACCCCAGACATAGAATCATAGAAAAGCATGTTACACTTCCAATGATTTGTAACATACCTTTCGTTCTAAATGTCTTTCCAGTCGTGTGAGAGCCTCTGTTTCTCCCCCTGGCCATACTGCAGAAGGCAGACCATCTGTGTCAAAACCTGAAAAACAAGTTGAAACAAGAAAATTCCTTGTTTGCTTATACTGTAGGGCAACAAAATTCTAGTTTATCGATACTTGACCACATCTTATTGTATCTTAAGACCAACCTAAGCTGGACACATGGCAAAGTACAAGTTTTAAAACAGTATGCAACCAAGTTTTTTCAAAGCCCTTTCAATACCACGTTCAATTTCTGCAACAAAATCCAATTTTTACTTTTACATTAACTCACAAGTTTTCCATGCTGAATGGTCTTACTTCAGTTTCACTTTCTGGGTTGGTTCTCCCCCCCCCCCCCCAAGTGACCTTTCTATCATTTTTCAAGTTATTTTCAAGTTCTCGGCTCTGCAGCTATCCCAAAACCAAAATTTATATTTTTGTAATTACTACTAAGAATCAACAATTGCTATTGTAATTTACAGGATGTCTAAAATCTTCTTCCACCAAGCTGAAAGCATGAGTGCTATCTTCAGAAAATCACAGGGTTCATTGACCTTGACTTAAATAACAGATGGGAATTATTGTCAGATTGATGATAAACACATACTTGAGCTGCAAAAGAAAGATGAGAAGGTGGTACAGGATTTCTTCCACACCCCCACACATCCCCCAGGATTGTTCACCAAGTGCGTGAGATGACACATCTGCCTGTAAGTTTAACCCCTCTCTAGAGAGATCTTTTCTTAAAATAGCTTTAAAAGCAACGTCGGTTGTACGAGAGGTCAAACAGACTAGACAGAGCAGCCTGAACTCAGCTAAAATCTATATAGACCCTTTCGTTAGCAATTTGGAGGTCATGACACATTTGTTTGTATTTCCAGGTGGGGAAGAACAAGAAAGAGAAGGGAGGGATTCACCAGATAATAGGTTCATGTATTTCTTAAAATTAAATTTAGATAAACGCAAGACTTCCCCCTCCTCCCCCCTCCAAGAAGTTTCAAAAACCATTATTTGCCTTATTATCATCTTTTTCTTTTTTTTTTTTTTGGCACCGTAAGACAAAAGGGGTTTTTAATGACTTTGTAAAATGACAGATGAATGACCTGAAGCACAAAGATACCAAAAGCATTTAATACAAAATGAAGCATCAGAGACTATTAGTAGCTTACTGATTATTTGGTACTATGGGAAAATGGCTACGCTGTATTACAAGAACTCAAGCAGTACTTAGTGTAGTTTCATCTGACCTCTCATTTAAAAGAAAATAGCTAAAACGTAGAGTTGATTATTATTTTTTGTTCTTTTTGTATAACTGGCATCAGTTTAAACCATTAACCATAAGCAGAATCTCTCATGTTTATTTTAAGTATTATGCTTTTAGTAGTAGATTACATCTTACTTGTTTCAAAATGTCAAAGTAATTTTAGAACATACCCAGCTCTTCAAGTGATGGGACACCGTATTTCTCATCATGGTCATCAGAAACTGGAGTAGTACATTTTTCCATTACTTCTGGGGTTATAGTCTCTACTGGCATCTCCAGTGGTTCCATTCTACTAATTAGGGTCTGGAATCGCTTGTAAGTGAGAGGAGGCTGTCCTCCATTTAATTCTATTATTCTGAATTGGAAAAAGAGGGGAAAAAAAAAAGGAAAAGAAGTGTGTCAGACAAGAGTATAGACCTTTTTATATACATAGAAAATATACATACAGAGAAATATCTTCTTACCTGCCTGTGGCATATTATATAAAATTGCAGATATACATGATAATCTGGACAGTGTGAACTTTTATTTTACCGTCCTTTTTTACCCTCTAGGGAGACACATAAATTAACTGTTTATAAGAAAGTTATTCTTCATTTCCAGGTTTAGGAAGGTCCCTCAAGAATGAGCAAGTAACGAATAGGGACAGCTCAAGGCAAAGAAAAATACAGATCAGGAAAGCAGATGCGAGATCATAGCTACCCAAAGATACATCCAAGTCACCTACAACACTATACTTTTTGCATTAAAAAGTACCTATTTTTCTATTCTGGTATTGAGAACAGTAGTCAGTATTACAACTCTCTTAGTATCAGGAAAAGTTAAGATGTAGTTTCATACACAACTGTTGTAAAACACACAGTTTCCATATTTTGCATTGTCACCTTAAGTATATCTAAAATTCCAGAAACAGGAAAACTTCAAACAAATAATTTACTAAATAGTAGATGGAACCAACTGTTCATTTGATCCAACTGTGCTTAGGTGGGGAGAGAAAAAAAGGACTTTTCAATTTAGGACTAAAAAAAACCCCAGCTATTTGTTTCAAAACAGTAAATAACTTCCTTTCTTCCCATATGTCTAGCTGCTTCTCATACATTGGCTTGTAACTGAATAAAACAGGCATCTACCACAGTAGGTTACTCAATATTAAGAGAAGCCAAGTCATATGTCTGAATAGTTTGCAGATTATGCTTGTATAATAGGAAGCTAATACTAATCCATTTAAATAGATCTGTGGAAAAATATAAACAAGATATTAAGTAACAAGATGCAGGGATATCAAACAATCCCTGATTGCTTACTGGATACATAACTGGTAGGAAATAGTTCTTGAAAAATAAAGGACTTTCTGCTAACTTGTGTACAGCAAGTGAAATAAGGAAAATAACAAAACAACTAAACAACAAATCTTATTTGGGAGAAGTTACAGGGATATTTGAGTAACTTCATTGTAAGAGACAGACAATTAACATGACCATTCTTTTCAGAAGAACCCCAAATCAAAGTTGTATTTCAGATACAGTTACATATCTTTTTTGAAGTTGCAAAGATCTACTCAGTATGTAATAAAATATGGATGGATGGATGGATGGAAGGAAGGATAAGAGAGAAACACAGAACAAATTTATAGTCTTCCTAACTATGAAGTGTTCCCAAGAGAAAGTAGCACACAATATCTAACCAAATATTACATAAAATTCATATTTTCTTTTTACAGTTGGAGTTAATAACTTACTTGTCTAAGTCATATAATGTATGGGAAATTCGAACAATGACCTCCACTCCAGCTTCACTAGCCAGCTTCTTGATTGCTGCATCTCTTTCCTTCCCAAATGGTTCAGAATCATATTCAATAGAAAGTTTTGCAATATTCCATTCCTGCAACACAAAACAAAACTCTGGTCCTTCAGCAACTCAGCTGCTTGATGGAAGGTTAGAGAAATGAGAATGGGAAGGACATGGACAAGATGAAACACCAGTTAGTACCTGCAGATAGTTGTCACAGATACACAAAGGCCCAAAACACATCAGACACCCAGACTCACAAAAATAAAGTCCAGTGGTTTGGTATCTAAGTAGGAATCAGGCATAAGAAAAGCCTCTGTCCCATCACTGTGGGCACAAGTAGTAATGGAACAACTCTTGCACACATTGTGAAAACTCCGTTGCTGTAACTTTAGGATCCATGTACCTTAAGAAGCACAACATAAGGGAAAGATGATAGAGGCTGTTTCCTGTACATTGATCTGCAGCAGTATTTTGCTCTGCAGAAAACTTTTTCACATGTGCCTGCAAACTTTAATAGCAGAGTTGAAGATGGGGCTGGTGAGGCAAAATACCCCTCCCACACAACCAAATCTCACACATTTTCTTCCCTTTTCCAAGCCCCTACCCCTCACCCACCAGAAAGGCAATCTTCAAATTCTCCATTTAAAATAAATACTAGTAAAACAAAAAAAAAAGTAAAATCTGTCTCCTAAAAAGAGGACACCTTGAAGCCTAATATCCTTTACATCACAGATGCTGTTACCAAGGCCAACAGTAACAGGTAGGGAAAAAGAAGCAAAGAAAGGGTTCAACTAATGGCTAAGGCTTCTATAGAGGCAGGAAAATGGAAAGGTGAAGTATGCACAGAATGATCCTAGAAAGCCATCCTGCCAATCAAACACAAAAATACCCTTCTAATCCCTCAGAATCTTAATCAGTTGATTTAAATATACCAGACAGACTATTTCAGAGACCTGGATTTACAACAGAGAGACACGGGGCACTCTACGCTCTTCACCTAGCATGCTCTTTCCCTTCTGAACTCTAGCTCTCTCCTAGATGAAGCCCAGGTACAATCCTGAGGATAGGCAATTCTAGAAAGAGTGCTTGCACTTTGAAAGGAGGTTTGGCTCCTTCCATCATTAAGTCTGCCAAGACAAACCCATCAGGTCCCGAGTCCTCAAGCAACCTCCTACACCCTCATATAATATTTATTTTTCATTTCATAATGTAAAGCCATAAAAAACGCATCCAAGAGCCAGAGCCACGTCCCCAAGGGAGCCAAGGAATTCCAAGACAAGTGCTATGTGATGTGAATACACCCACGTCACATCAGCATGAGCTAGGCACTTAGAAGAAGTATGGACACAGTACCTACACTTAGCAAACCATTAGAAATCTGTTCCATTACTGGAAGGAAAAAAACCCAAAAAATGTAAATCAAAGAGCAACTCAGTTCAACTGGTGATATGCACATGAGAGGAGAAACCCCCAAACTTAACAAAAACAACCTCCAAGGAAACTGCAAGGATAGTTACGTATTTGCATGGGTAACAACTTGCACTGAAGTATATGGTAAAAGAAACATTCCTAGTTTAAATTAGTCAAATATATGGATAGAAACAACAACTGCAAGGTGGCATCTACCTTGAAAAGTCTGGGGAAAACATCTGCTGGCTGTCCACGAATAACAAACAAACGTGAGTTCAGCTTCCGTAGATTGGCATCAAGATCCTCAAGACACTGAAGCAGGAATCTGCAAGGAATCATAAAGAAACATTATTTTCTGGCACAAACCAGACAATCTTACAATACAAAAAGTGAACTAAGAGGAACGACTCAACAAAGATTATGAGACCATCAGTATTTGGTACATATTTTGGTGATGCATGCACGTTCGCATCATAATTACACTTAGCTTACAGTAGTTGAATGCCATATACTATATTCAACAACACAATTCGGAAAAACCAACTGTCACTTAAGTTTTTGGCTTAACACTATTCTACTCTGGAATGGACTAAAACATACTGTGCTGATTTTGGTGGGGTTAGAGTTAATTATCTTCACAGTGGCTAGTAGGGGACTACAGTTTGGGTTTGTGCTGGAAACGGTGTTGGTAACACAGGGATGTTTCAGTTACTGCTGAGCAGTGCTTACACAGATCAAGGCCTTTTCTGCTCCTCACACCTCCCCACCAGTGAGCAGGTTGGGGGTGCACAAGAAGTTGGGAGGGAACACAGCCGAGACAGCTGATCCCAACTGACCAAAGGGATATTCCATGCCATATGGCATTGTGCTCGCATATGAAGCTGGGGGATGGAGGAGGAAGCAGGAGCTGTTCAGTGATGGCATTTATCTTCCCAAGTAACTGTTCCGTGTGACAGAGCCCTGCTTTCCTGGAGAAGGCTGAACACCTGCCTGTCAATGGGAAGTGGTGAATGAATTCCTTTGCTTTGCTTCAGTGCATGTGGCTTTTGCTTTACATATTAAGCTGCTTTTAACTCAATCCACAAGTTTATTCACTTTCATCTTCCAATTCTCTCCCCATCCTGCCATGGGGGAAGTGAGCAAACAGCTGATTGATGCTTAGTTGTCAGCTGGGGTTAAACCACAACGCATACTCAAGTCTTAACTAAAACTAGAAATATCTTGTCATTCTAAAGCACATCACAGGAAAAAAATCAAAGCAAAACAAAAACCACCACCACAGAAACACAAACAGAAACCAAACAATCAGCTCTTAGCATACTGCTACTACACTTAGGACCATGTAGTCCTCTGGTATACTGTTTTTAGTAATATAAACTATCACTTCGGCCTTCATTTATAAAAATAGCCCTCTATAGAACAAACAGTTTCACGCATCTCAGCTGTAACCTCACCCTAATTATTTAATGAGCAAAGCAGCAAATAAGGGGGGAAGAAAAGGGGAGGGAAGGAGGATGGGGTCCTGCAAATCTGCAAGTCTTCAAGAGAAACAGGTGGTTGCACAAAGGATGTTGAGGTAGGTTCACACAGGTGAAGATTTGTTAGTGGGTACAGTAAGTAAAAATAATTACAAAGGTAAAAGTTGTTCAAGGAAGAAATAAAAACAGAAGGAAGGAGAGGAGAAATGAAAACTTCACCTTGAGGCCAGCCAGAGAGAGAGATGCTGGGGGTCCCCTTGCCCTGGACTCCTCTGCCAGTGGAACAAGTGGCTCCTCCATAATATTTTTCCTCATAGCAACAATATAGTTTTCATCAGGAGCTACTCAAACCCTGTCAGCTATTCTGTCTTACAATGCTGCAGGCACTCACCAAAGTTCATGCTCATCAGGGCATCCACCGAGTCAGAGCCTGACAGTCATTAACCTCTAAGCACACGCATTATTGGATTCCCCTGCTATAAACCAAAAGCTACACCCAAAGGGAGAGGTGGAAGAAAGAGGAGATTCCCACACTGCAGGCCATTATTCCCGAGAGAGCCTGCTGTAACAACACTGTGTGTGGATGCCAGGCCACAAGGATAACACCACAGGAGCAACCGCCCAGGACCAGTGCTGGGAAAGCAGTGCCACAGAGCCCTGGAGACACTGCACTGGCAGCCTAGGTGGAATGGTAGGGAGCTACCAGCAAAGGGCAGGCTGCACAGCTGCAGTGCCCACAGCATTGCAAAGACAAAGGCACTGACCAACCAGGCTTACTGACATCAGGAGTTCATGCAACACCCTGGTTTTGAAAAACAAATACTAAAATATAGCCAATTAGAAGGTGTAGCATTTTCACTGTATGAGGGATACAGCATACATGACTGTTGTAAACCTACTAACATATGTGTGGCTCACTTGACCTCAGAGGGTTAACTGTAGTCAAGTCTGAGAGGAAGCCACAGTACAAGAATACAACAGCTTCTGGGTTGGCAACTATGCTTTTATGTTTTATAACCAGAACAAACCAAAAACGCCTAATCCTCTCACTTGGCTAAATTCTGATTTGAAAAATCTCTGGGGTAGTTAGACCATGAAGCAAGAAAAGTAAAAGAAACTTCCATACGCTCATTTAGTTAGAAACTACATGGGAGTAATTTTAAGAATCAGATGAGAATCGCATATGCTTCTATCAGAGAGAACTTGGGGCCCATGTTCCCAGGCCAAAGTCAGTTCCAGTTGGACTCTGAGAAGTACAGCTTCATTTCATCTTTCATTTTTCAAGGAGCATATGCATTCACACAGACTTCACAAATTGCTGTGATGACAAACTGCAGTAGTGTCCTGGATACCTTTGGAACAGTCCGGGAGAGGTTTGGGGTTTTGTTTCTTTCTTTGTTTGCTTTGATAGGATTCTGTTGTTGGGGTGGTTTGTTGTTTGGGGCTTTTTTTAAACTTCGTATAACAGAATATTGGGAAAGAACATAAAGAGAAACTGGTGACATAAAACCCTTATAGCTATTCAAACTAAAAATCTGTCTTTGAGGAAACTTAAGAGTTTGTTCCTATTGGCACTTCAGTTCTCTCTATTTTCTCAATCTCTTTTCTTCCTAACCTGACTGACCACAACATACAACTTCTAGGCTAGACTTGGCACAAAATCCTACTCAAGAAGATTACATGCACTGACCCAGTCTCCAATTCACATCCAAGATCCCTAAACTTGCCCTTAATACTGTTTAATCTCTATTTTGTTGGGTCTCCAAATCCCTTTTATTATCTCTCTTAACTATCACTTACCACACTCCAGCATTTCAATCTCCATAAAACTCTTTCATGTACTTAACAAACATAATGGTATAAATTCAAATAGTAAAATATATGTAGGAATGAAGCAGGAGAGTGGACAGGGAGCACCTGAACAAAAAAGAGAACAAATGAAAAACAGCCAAACCACAGATGGTGTTGCAAGACTCACTGAAAGCACATTGTCATAAAATAATAAACCAAATTAAACCCTAGCAACCCTATGATATCTATAGAAACACCAATGCAAAAGAATACCGTTTTTGACTTTCAGAACACAGATTCAGTTTACGAGTGGTTACACTGCATAAGTGTGCACTTTATTAAGCATATCTGAATCCTTCAGTTGGACCAAATGTGTTTTAACAAAATGTGCTTCCAATAATTAATAATCTACTTTGGGTTTGCCAACTCTATTTATGTTATGTCATATCAAAAGGCATTTTCTCATTAAAATGCTAATAGAAGTTGTCTAACAAAAGCCCTTACACAGATTTATAGAATCATAGAATAGTTTGGGTTGGAAGGGACCTTTAAAGGTCATCTAGTCCAATCCCTCCTGCAATGAGGCTTGCTCAATTAAAAATGAACCTTCTTAAATCATTGTTTTTAGATACAACCCTTACCAAGAACTTAACAGTTGAATCAACTATTTGTGATAACCAAAGTTTTCACCACCTCTTTTTCTCAGGAGCACCTTTAAAAGTTGCACAACATCTTCACTGCGGTTGAATGCATGCTAACTAACATGCTAGATACACCCACAGATATAAATTACTGTGAATTTAAGGAAGGACAATTCTACATCGCAGAACTTCTGCGTTCATATAACGTGTTAACAGATGCCTGTGTGAACAGGCCCACGTGAAAGGAAATTTTTAATTATATCAGCTCCCTGGGACAACTTCTGATTTCTGCAGTCTCTCCAATATTGGCATGGTACAGCATTGTAATGCACTGCATTTATCTCCTGTCCTAGCAAACTAACCTCATCTACAACAGACATATGTCATGGATGAGTAATAACATATACACAACATGTAAACCCCAACACATCTGGCACATACTTAATAATAACTGTAATTCTCAGCATTCAACACATTCTCACAGTAAACTATTACGGGACCTGGGAGAAAAGAGTTCTTAGGTTTTCAAGGTATCATTTTGACCGCCAGCACTTGTTTGCAAGTGAAAACAGTCCTGAACTACTCTCATGACATTTCTTAGGTTTTCAAGGTATCATTTTGACCGCTAACACTTGTTTGCAAGTGAAAACAGTCCTAAACTACTCTCATGACACGCTGCAGTGCAGGAATATGCAGGTGTTTTGCTCACACTGCATACATTTAGGGATAAGCAAGAACAGTAGTCTAGCACAGACAAGCCAAAATTAATTGTGCTTTCTCTATGAAAAGATACACCACTGTGCTCATAAACATGTTCTTTTCACAATATAACATAAATTGTGTGGTGTGGTTGACATGCTGGAGGGAAGGGATGCCATTCAGAGGGACCTGGACAGGCCTGAGAGGTGTATCAATGCAAACCTTACTGAGTTAGTGAAGTGCAATGTCTTGTGCCAGGGTCAGGGCAATCCCAGGCACAACTATAGGCTGGGCAGAGACTGGCTTGAGAGCAACCCTGAGGAGAAGCACTTGCGGGGGTTGGTTGATGAGAAGCTCAACGTGATCCAGCAGTGCGCGCTTGCAGCCCAAAAACCAACCGTGTCCTGGGCTGTATCAAAAGAAGTGTGACCAGCAGGTCGAAGGAGGTGATCCTGCCCCTCTGCTCTGCTCTTGTGAGACCTCACTTGCAGTATTGTGTACAGTTTTGGCAAACTCAACATAAGAAGGACACAGAGCTGCTCCAGCAAGTCCAGAGGAGGACCGTGAAGATACTCAGAGGGCTGGAGCACCTCCCTTATGAAGACAGGCTGAGAGAGTTGGGGTTGTTCAGGCTGGAGAAGGCTCCAGAGAGACCTTAGAGCAGCCTTTCAGTACTTAAAGGGGGCCTGCAAGAAATCTGGAGAGGGAATTTTTAC